TGCTGGATTCCCCTATTGAAAACAACTGGGGACTGTTGTAACTGCTGTCATAAATTGGCAGTCATGTTATGTTATACTTTATGACCACATCACTTAGTGCATCATTAAACGACAACTGCCTGTTGAAACCTATGAATAGGTTTGTTTTTCTCTCTGGGCTAAACCTTTATATTTTAAAAAATATAAAGTATTTATAAAATATAAAAGGTTGCTTCTAAAAATTAAACTTTTGAATACCTTATTTGCAGAACAGATGAATTATATAATGATTTCTCATTCTTTGTAGGTAATCATGAGTGATCGAAAGGCTGTGATCAAAAATGCAGATATGTCTGAGGAGATGCAGCAGGACTCTGTGGAGTGTGCTACACAGGCCTTGGAAAAGTATAACATTGAGAAAGATATTGCTGCCCATATAAAGAAGGTAGTGCTGAACCATCATCTCATATTACTATCTTAGAATTTTAATTTAGAAAAAAAACTACCAAGAATATAATCTTATTTATAAATTAATATTAAAGTAATACCAAGTCCTAACTGGCAGAAAAAGTATTATGTGAATGGAAAGAAAATTTGTTCACTGATGGGACCATGCTAAATTTGTAACAGAATTTGCAGGGTGAGTTTGACGGCTTCTGGAAGTAAATTCTCTGCATCAGCAATTATTTGCTGCATTCTTATCCTGCTCCCAGAATACTTCACGGTTGGGGAATTTACTTCCAGAAAGTGTCAAATTGTCTGTTGAATGATAAGGTCCTGAGGATGTTTGGGATAAACTAGAGGGGGGATGGAAGTTTCTAGAGTTCTTCAGAATATTCAGTTCTCAAGTTGGTGGGTTACCTATAACGTTAATTGAACCATGGCTACAATCTTCTGCATTTGGCTTAGATTCAGCATAGAAAAATGCCAAGTGATAAAATATTTAAATGTAATACTTTTACAAGTGCAGCAATGTAAATAATTTTATATTATTCAATGTAATATCCAAGGTGCATAGATTAATGAGATACTAGGTTTATGTAAAAGATCTGAGTGAAAAGATATGCAGGTTACTCATAAAACCAGTTTAATGATGCGAGTTCTTTGTTTCAGTGCATTAGTCATAGCTTTCAGAGATGAATGTTGAGCCCTACTCATACTGTTCTTACTCTATGTACTATGCTTTTTTGTATATACAAATCCTGCTATTGTAGGACTACACATTTTTGACTCAAGAATATTCAGTTGCTCCTCTGAACTATGCTGTTCCAGAACTGATTCCTAGGACGTATCCTCACAGAGAACCACATGGGCCAATTTCAATTGCTCCTGGATTAGTGTGGTCCAGAGTCATGCAAGATACCAGGATGTCCCAGAAATATAAGAGTTCACATCTCTAATAATTTTACATCTAGCTGACAGTATTGTTATCAGCACATACTGATTTAATCACTAGAAAAAATAATGCATATATGCCTAACGTTTCCCTAGAAACTGCAGAATTGGCTAACATGATCATGTGAGTTCTTGCATTTTATTATCACTTCAAATCTTTAAGGGCTTGGAGTTGAAGGTTTGAAGGTTTATTTTATTTATATGCCGCCCTATTCCCTGAGGGACTCAGGGCGGCTCACAAACCCGGGAGGGGGGGGTAAACACGAAGGAAATACAACAAAAAAGGTACAAGGGAATTTAAAAGACAATCAACAGTCACACGGTTCGAGAGGGGTAGGGAACTCATCAGCCCCAGGCCTGCCGGCACAGCAGTTTTCACCTTTTACAACCCAAGACAACCTTTGGGTTGTCAACACACCAAAAAGAGAATTGGTGAAGAAATTAGGATATACTGGAACTAAAACTTGCTCAAGAGTTAAAATTCAGTAACTTGGAATAAGACATGCTTTTCAGTATAATAGATTGAATGAAAATATTAATATCTATGATGCTAAGATTTTAAGGGGTTCTCTTCCAGGAGTTTGACAAGAAATACAATCCTACCTGGCACTGCATTGTGGGAAGAAATTTTGGCAGCTACGTGACTCATGAGACCAAACACTTCATCTACTTTTACCTGGGTCAAGTTGCTATTCTCCTTTTCAAATCTGGTTAGAAGTATGGAAATTTTTCACCCAAGTATGCATTCGGTTACAGGACTGCACGCTAATTCCAAATAGACTGAAGTCTTCAGCCTTCCCCAGGGAACATACCTTGATCTTCAAGCCTTTTGTTTTAATGACAGGTACTCCTATGTACCAATTTGTGTTTTTGTTGTGGCCATAAAAAAATAGCAAAAAAGTAAGCTTGTATGTATTTTCTTTCTAAAACAAACAATCCATCCAAGTTTTCTAATAAAACTGTTGGGTATTCATTCTTTAACTTACTCTAAAATTTCTATATTTGGGGTAGCTCTTCCATTGGGGTTCTATATTATACTGAAGCTAAAAATTGTTTAGCTAATGTTTTCCAAGCTTAACTCCAAGGTTTCATAGGATCAGCCTAGGTTATTATATTTGACTTAAACCTTGAAAATGCCTTTCTGTACCAGCTAATGCATCTAGGTTTTTTGTGTTTAACTTTATTGGCTTCCAATGCATTAAGCACAGCTGTTAAGAGAGCACCTTAGACACAAAATTAGAATTCCTTCTAATTCAGACTTCCTTTTGAAGCATATCTGTGCAAGAGAATAATATGCTGTAATGGAATGATTTAAACAAAACTTATGGATGCTTAATCAATTAGCATTAAAATTTGTTACCATTTGACATATCTGTATATGTCAGATAAACAAAACTGTATAGAGTTTCTTGCCTCTATTATACAAGCTTCAATATTAAGGGTTATTAACCTTTCGTGCTAGATAGCTCAGTACAATCATACTATATATTAACACAGTATTTAATAAAGTCTTCCTGAGATTGGAAGAAAGCCTAGCAGATGATCTCATGGGAAACGAGTGCTGAATATTTAGCTTCATTTTAAGGACTAGAGCATCCCATATTTGGAAAAACGTGTTATTGCACTTCTCACTTAATAGAGATCCGATTGCATGTACTTAATGGATTGGTTGACATGTTGCAGGATCAGCTCTGCTTTATAAAGTTGGGACAAATAGCATGTTTAATTGAGTATCAAGTTTTTCCTTCAACCTTGAAAGTTTATGGTCTAAAAGCAATGTGTATGAGGGAAGCACCCCATGGAAATAAGAATGTGAATTTGTTAAGATATAGTTCAAATAGTACATGAGACTTCCTTAACTATCAAAGAGGGACAACACTGATACTGGTAGTGAAATTAAGCATGGAAATGTTTTGTGCCTTTTAAATGTAAAAACATTTGTTACCAATGGCAAATACTAGATTATCTAGACATTTATTACCCAAGTTATTTTTAAAAGTTTCAGCTTTCTTATCCTAAAGATTTGCTGGTTTATTCCTTTCTCCATAGGTANCTCCTTTCCAAGCAGCCTCCATTTTATTTCCAGTGGTTTAGAACAGGATGGGAGTTTTCTTCCAACACAAAATAGATGCCGTGCTAAAATGATTTTAATTTAAAATGTAATAAAGCCTAAAATCCGAGGGAATTCTCTGGAGTTGTTCTCCCATCTTTAACTTGTTGGCGTTGAGAAGGATAGTTTGAAATTCATTGGAAGGAAACCCCCGAAACACCTTTCCCGAGGAGAAGAATCTCTGCATGTGCTCAGAGGAACTGCAGCTTTGGGACTGAATTTCTTTTTAAAATATGGGTTTCGTTAGGGTTCCGTCCCGTTTCGTCCGACCGGTTCGCTTTCCCGCCGCCCTCCACGTGCCCGGACTGGCTCTGAAACCGCCCGGCCCGTCGCCCTGGCAACGGACGCCCGGCGCAGTGCATGCCGGTCCGCAATAAAATGCGACAATAAAACCCGGAGCGAGGCGGGGGCACTGCAGCCAATGGGCGGTGAGGCGTATTGTTGCCGCCAATGGACGTTGCCTGCGGGACGGAGCGCGGCGCGTTGGGCGTGGCGGCGGCGGGACGGAGGGTGGGGCGAAGCAGCGGCCGGGCGGCATTCGAGGCTTGTCGCGGCCGAGGCGGGCAGGGCTGCTGAGCAAGCGCGCGGGCGGGCTTTTACCTCAGTGCGTTTACAGCGACGGGGGACCCGGAGGAGCGCCGAGGTGCCAACTTGCCCACCGGCTCCACCAACGTCCCTTCCCGCACTCCTCGGAAGCAGCCCGGCAGCAGCGGCCGCACCACCACACGGTGAGGGAGAGAGAGCCCGGGGCCGCGCCTCGCACTACATCGCCCATGGGGTTGGGCGGGCCTGGCGGAGGTCGTGGAACGCCCCCGAACGCCGTGGCCTCAACCCGGAGTGCCCCGGCGATGGGGGGACGACTACAATGCCTAAAAAAATCCCCAGCCGTTTGGGGGGGGGGCTGGTGGATTATGGGCGTTGTAGTCGCGCACCCCGGAGTCCCCTGGCCTTTTTGACCCACGTATGAAGCGTCCTTGCCGGCTGGGAGCGAGTGAGGCAGCAACCCGGCCGATGCCCGCTTCGAAGCGCTTGGGGGAGGGGGGGGACGGCGCACAGCCTCGCCTCCGCCGAAATCCCAAAGACTTCGGGGAGCATCGGCCGGCGCCAGGCCGCCTCCAGCGCCTCCAAATCGGCCTCCTTGCCTGCCTTGCCGGAGGGGTTGAAACAGCTCCCCCAAAATCTGTGCAACGGGACGCCACGCTATTTATTTATTTTTGGCCAGCCGTCGTCCCCCTTCTGCGGCTTCCCCGAAGGAACCCATGAGGTTACGAGGCTTCTGCGGCTGTCCTGCGTGTCGGCATTGTGGAGTAAGGGCGAAGGGAGCTTTTTTGGGGTGGGAGGCGGGAGAAGGGAAAGAGATTTAATTCGGAGGCAAAGAGCGATCGTGCCCGCGCTACAGGATCCTTGGAGTTAAAAGGGGAAGGAGGATAAATGGCGCAGAGGGTGGGGGTGGATGGGGAAACCTGGAAGAGATTTTGGAAGAGTGATCCATGGCAGGATAGCTCGTGATGGGTCACTTTAAAGCGTTTCTTGGGTCTAATCTGAGGTTCTATCATTTTTCCCTAATTAATATAGGTAATTGTTTTATATAAATTGGGTTCCTGAACCGAAGGGTTAATAGTGTAAATAGAAATAATATTTATATCCTCTAGTACCTAAAAAACTAAGGCTTTTCAATAGTAACATTCCTGTTTAAAATGTAGTGTAAGCACTGAACAAATGAACATAGTTCAGGGTGGAGAGCAGGTTAGGTGCTTGAGGAGGGAATCCTGCTGAGGCAATGTACAGCTAGTACTAGAAATAACAAGGTCTCTCCCCATTTCCTTCTTTCAGGGAAGATGGAAATGATGGAGGCTGGTTATCTATAGAAGGAAAGAATAGTTGGATTTGAGAGGATCTGGTCAAGGAGTGGTGGTGGGCGGTTGTCTGTGACATTGAAAATTAAGATACTTTTTGTGGGGGATAAGCGGTTGACGGGTGAGGTCCATTGGGTTAGGAGACAGACATTCCTAGATGGGTTTGGTATGAAGGGGGTTAACATTTAGGATATATACAGATGGGGCTATGAAAATTAACAGAAAATTTGGCAAAAGTGGTATCTCCCTTGAGCATAAACACCTAGCCTTTTTGTGCAAAAGGTGTAATTGCACACAAGCAAGTGGGTGGAGTAAAAATAGATACCCAGGAGCAGTTGGATATCTGCTTTATTACAAGGCAATCAATACATGCAATATAAAGATCCCTGTGCTGCTTATTTTAGTAGTGTATAGATTGTAGCTATGCTAGTAAGGAAAATGAGTCTCACCATTTCTGAGTTCATGAGCACATACAGAGTCTGCCTTCTTCCTGAATGTCTGCATGTTTCAAATTTTCCAATCTAGTCTACAGATGGTATATCCTGGTGGTCTCCCATCACACAGAAATAAAATCCAATCATGTTTACCTTTTGAAATGAATCTGTTGCATATCAATCTTTTCTAGAAGGATTCTGAGTACTTGTCAGGCTGAGTCTGGTGAAGCAGAGGGGCATAATTTATTGCATTGCATTGCATTTTTTTGCCAAAAATAATTATAGATAGTCCTTGTTGAACAATCACTCTTACAGCAACTGTTCAAAGTTTTGACAAAACTGGACAAGGAGTTTTATAACTGCAGTTGTGGCCATTGGAATGTTGTGGTCACATGATCACTATTTGAGTGCTTGGCAATAAGCTAGAGTTATTGTTGCAGTGTCCAGTGCTCGCATGATCACCATTTGCAACTTCCACTACTGGCTTTGTTTGAGCAAATACAAAGGGAAGTCAGCAGGAGGTCGCAAATGATAATCATATGACCATGGAACACTGCAACTATGCTGGATTCCCCTATTGAAAACAACTGGGGACTGTTGTAACTGCTGTCATAAATTGGCAGTCATGTTATGTTATACTTTATGACCACATCACTTAGTGCATCATTAAACGACAACTGCCTGTTGAAACCTATGAATAGGTTTGTTTTTCTCTCTGGGCTAAACCTTTATATTTTAAAAAATATAAAGTATTTATAAAATATAAAAGGTTGCTTCTAAAAATTAAACTTTTGAATACCTTATTTGCAGAACAGATGAATTATATAATGATTTCTCATTCTTTGTAGGTAATCATGAGTGATCGAAAGGCTGTGATCAAAAATGCAGATATGTCTGAGGAGATGCAGCAGGACTCTGTGGAGTGTGCTACACAGGCCTTGGAAAAGTATAACATTGAGAAAGATATTGCTGCCCATATAAAGAAGGTAGTGCTGAACCATCATCTCATATTACTATCTTAGAATTTTAATTTAGAAAAAAAACTACCAAGAATATAATCTTATTTATAAATTAATATTAAAGTAATACCAAGTCCTAACTGGCAGAAAAAGTATTATGTGAATGGAAAGAAAATTTGTTCACTGATGGGACCATGCTAAATTTGTAACAGAATTTGCAGGGTGAGTTTGACGGCTTCTGGAAGTAAATTCTCTGCATCAGCAATTATTTGCTGCATTCTTATCCTGCTCCCAGAATACTTCACGGTTGGGGAATTTACTTCCAGAAAGTGTCAAATTGTCTGTTGAATGATAAGGTCCTGAGGATGTTTGGGATAAACTAGAGGGGGGATGGAAGTTTCTAGAGTTCTTCAGAATATTCAGTTCTCAAGTTGGTGGGTTACCTATAACGTTAATTGAACCATGGCTACAATCTTCTGCATTTGGCTTAGATTCAGCATAGAAAAATGCCAAGTGATAAAATATTTAAATGTAATACTTT